TGTTTGGGTCATGTTTTGCGGTATGCCCTTTAATACTGTAGCTTTAGAAATGCAATTTTCAGCCTCTGCTTATTAGAATATGATAAAGTATTCCTGGTCTATGTCCAGCTCCACTAATCTCCAGACTGCGCTTCATGAATTAAGCATGAAGATTTTAGTCAATGTGCTTTCAAAGACCAATGTTTAGGGAATCATGGATTTTCTACAAGCTGAGGGAGAAATCTATAATAGGAGGAACTGATTTTCAAACATCATATTCTCAAGAAGAAATGACCAGTTCTGGCCCAGAAACAGAAAATATTTCACTATCAGAATATTCTAGAACCGGTTAAAGCCACATTGTGCGGATTGGGTTTATTAAAGGGACGGTGTTTTAAAATGTGTAAGACGGTCTGTCACGTGGGAGGATTTCAAATGACTACTTATTTGGGAGAGCTCATGTAGATTGGGTTAAAATCAAGAGGGGAATGCAAATTGAATTTATATGGTATTATTAACTTCACGTCTCCCTTCCATGCCCTGGTGCATGTTGGTTCATTTTGCCGTGATCTAATTCAGCAAATAGCCAGAGATTTCTTTCCAGGTGAGGGGTCTCACTCTGGGGAGAGACTGAGGACCCATGGGTACCTTAGCCAGGCTGCCTCACGGTAGGTAACATCTAAGATCCCAGTGTCTCCTGGTTTGGAAGCATGGAAAACTCAGCAGGCAAGCATCTTGAAAGGAAGTCTCCTTTCAAAGTCACCTTGCTGGATGACATGGGGCATCACTCCATGAAAATGCAAAAGTCCTTAGTGTCTAGGTGGCCATGGTGCACCCCAAAATGGCATTGGGGATACTTTAATCTGAGTTAGAGCAGCCCTGCAGTGTTAGTGTTCTTGTTTGGTGAAACCGTGTCGGTGGTCATTGGCATCACCTTTATAATAACAGGTATCCTGTAGTGAGCATCTCTTCTGGGCCCAAAACTGTGCTAAGCACTTAACATCAGTATCTCACTCAAATCCCTGTTTCTCAGTAGGGAAACCGAGGCACAGGTAGTTTCAGTGAATTGCATAGAGTCAGCATTGAGACCATGACTCCTTTGGTCCCCTAAATCTAAACAACCACACCACACTTTGGGGCCTCAGAAGCTTGGCCCACGTCTTGAAGGTGTTGGGTAAGAATCTGGACCAGACCCCAGTGGGAGCTGGTGGAGGCTCTCATCCACTCCTCCAGTTCTGAGATCAAGACAGAAATGTAAATCATCTCCAATTACAGGGCTGCTACTTGAACATTTTCCTTTTGAGGAAGACAGGAAAATTTTCAGCTCATGTAGCTTTATCTGTGAACCTACAGGATCTCTCAGGGGCTTTAAATTAATCAATCAATCCACAGACATTGAGCTGAATCTCTACCTTGGGCTAGAGACTCTGCAAAGTGCTTTAAATGGGGAAAAAAACCAAAGGGCCAGCTGCCCTGCCCCCAGCGATAGCCCAAGGCTGCCTTCCATGGCCAGGGAATTGGTCTGTCAGTTCAATCACGCGGCCCTTCTGACTGCTGTTTTTCACTAAGCTGGCCCCGTGGCCACTCCGGTCATGTGTAGACATGGCCTCAGGAGGGGTATATCCTTCTCTTTTTGAGTCCTGGCCATTTAATCGTTCCTCACACAATTTTAAGGGAAATAACAGCAAAACCCAACCCTGTCAATCACCATTTGCTCCCAGGTCTCAGAGCAGCACCTGAAGAACAAGTGTGCAAGGACATGTCCCTGGACACCTTAGGGTTACAAAATGAGGTGCGGACAAAGTGGGTAGGAGAAATATTGCCCCGAGCCATCTGGGGACCCTGAAGATTTTATAGGGCTCCCAGTCTCTGGGTCTTGCAAACATGCTCTGGGAATGGGTCCTTTTTGAAAAGGGACGGGAGGTTCTCTAAGTGATACTGGCTGAACTATATAGCAGTTTTAGGACTCACTGCAGTGGGTCCCTGTTAGTATTAATGTAAACATAAGTGAGCCAAGCGGAGATTGGAATATAAGGGAAGGCTCCTCACCTCCAGCTCTGTGTTGCTGATGTTGTTTTTAAAGATAAATGGGACTCACGATTTTTGTGTGCAGTCTCTTTATTTTAAATACTGGTAGTCAATTCAAGTTATTTTTAAATATTGGCATCCAGTTCAAGCTATTTTTTAAATAAAAACATTTTAAAATATATTTTTATTGATTTCAGAGAGGAATGGAGAGGGAAAGAGATGAGAGAGAATCATTGATTGGTTGCCTCTTGCCCATCCCCTACTGGGAATCGAGTCCACAACCCTGGCATGTGCCCTGACTGGGAATTGACGCTCAAACACGGAGCCACACGGCCAGGCAATTCCCCTTTTTTTTTTTTGACCCTCCATGGACCAAGCCTGTATGCCAGAGGAAGCCAGGTGCAGGTGCCAGCTGTGGCTTCCCCTTAAAACCCACCTCCTTGTTTTATGGAGCTACTGTCCAGAGAGGTAATGCAGCTAGCTCCCGGGGCCACACTGGCAGGATGGAGACCAGCATCTTTTGGCTTCACTGATAAATCCTGGTGGCAGTAGGAACCATCCTAACTTTATAGCAGGACAATGGGCAGGATCGGTGTGAGCCCTGAACACAGGCCACTGAGAGAATTACAGGTCTCAATCCTGAACAGGTACCTTGAGAGGGTTCAGTTCTCTGAGCCAGAGCTCTAGTACCAACTCACAGACCACTGTGCCACTGTGTGACTGACGCGGGCCTGCAAGCCTGCGGCAAGGAGACAGGGAGAAGCCTGGATAACAACCCCGTGGCCATCTGAGTCCTTGCAGGGGCATCTGTGACTTTGGACATACCTGGGAAGAGAGCAGGACACCCGCCTTCCTTCCTGCGCCTCTACCATCAGCCACCACCACTAGAAGCATCCCCTACACACACCCCATCATTCAGTTCCCACAGAATACCTGGGAAGCAGATGTGAATACACTTATTTTACAGGTGACATCCCCAGGGCTCAGGGGATTGAGTACCTGCCTAGGTCAGGCGGTTGGTTCCCTAAACAGCAAGGAGGTACAGGCATCCCCAGGTTGAGCTCACTCTACACTGAAACAGAACTTTCTTTGTCACCTGCCTTTCTCCTTCACTGCCACCTGCCTCATTATATTCACCTGGAAGGGGGCTGGGTCTCTCTTTTCCTCTTTGGGTTTTTGTGAAAGGTGACCTGCAAACTCTGCCTTCTATGGACAGAAGGTGGACACTGCAGACACACCAGCCCAGCTCAGAGTGTCTCTCCCCGACGGAGGGTCGGAGGACAGAGGATGATCCCTCCTTGATGGGACACAGGAATTTCCCAGCAGAGAGAGGAAAAACAGGAAGGAGACTAGAATGTATAATTACCAAGCAATTATCCACACCCCCCTCCATTTTCCAAATTGTAAGTTCTTTTTTATGTAACCACTTTCTGTTAAAGAGGAAGAAATAGCTTCACCAGCAGTGTAAAATATATACTTTCTAATGTAAATCAAGAAGCTATTAATACCGTAATAAGAACACGGTAGAATATTAATTGATGGAAATTGTAGAGTGGAATATTCATAATCAGCTGCAGTCTTTTCTTTGGAAGGAACAAAGGATTAAGTTAGGGAGACAGTAATGGTATTGTTAGTGGGCTATTTCAATGATTTTCTCTGTGGAAGAGTAGAGAAAGGTGAAATTCCAACTGGGAATATTACACTATGCAGATCTCTGCTCAGGGGTATTCGCCTCTGTTTAAACTGCCGAGCTGTGCTCTGCCTTATGATCCAATTGTTTTATTAGCGGAATCATTGCGCGTTTCATTTTGCTACAGTAATAGTGCAGTGTCTGTCTTAACAATAAATTATAGAGTCAGGCAAACAATGGTTTTGTATTTGGGATACAATGAGATATCTTATTAAAATGCAGGCTTCCTTAGGTTCCTGAAATTAGAGTCTTATTTTAAAAAGATTCCATTGGGTTTAAGACACTGTTTTGAACTAATCACACTAACAGAATCACTCTTTTGTCAGACATAGAGGACTATGGGAGTTACCTGTTTCTTTAGTCTTTTTCCCATTCATATTTTATTCTCTTCTGGAGAGAGCTTATTGGTTCAACAGGAAAGGCATCATTCCTTTGCACGTGAAAGATACAATGAGATCTGAAGCAGTCATATCCTCCCTGCCAAGTTTCTGAAGTGGATATTCTGTCCTGATAATATTCTGATAGCGATAATAATACTCCATAATAATAAATCATAGTTTTTGAATGATCACCTTATCCTGGGCACTGCAGAAAGCAGTTTACATAGTTTACTTTGTAGGATCCTCATTCTAGCCACCTAGGCGTAGATACTGTCATTATCTTCATTTCACAGATGAGAAGATTGTGGCTTAGAAATATTAAGTGGTTTTTCTCATGTCACATAGCTTGGTCAATATTAATACCGGGTCTTGAATCTCTGCTGTCTGGTTTGTGATACTTTTGACTTGTCATTGCTGATTAATTTTCATTTCTCTGCTCATCTCTCGGATTAGAACCTTTCTGTGTTCTTGAATTCAACAAGACTGAATAGCAGTTGCCTCTCCAGCCTCCAGCACACTTTTGGAGATTGTGAATGGGGTCAAGGGGGAGCAATAGTTTTTGCAGTCATTTTTTTTCCTTTCTTCAGGTTCTATATATCAAGTCCCCCCTCGAGGGCCAGGCTTTGTGCTATGTTTTATGCCCATCATCCTTTTCTCTCAGTCTCTGCAGCACGGAGAGAGGTGCTGTTATTATTTGCACTGCAGTTGAGGCATCTGAAGCTCAGAGTTTAAGTGGCCACTCAGGTTACCAGCTCTGGTGACTGGGGGATCCGGAGAGCGTTCAGGCCTGTTTGGCCCCACCACCCGTCCTCTCACCAGCCTCAGTGTATCATGGATGTCCCACTCTGATTGTCGAGTGCTCTTTGGAACACAGGAAACTATGTTAATTAAAAAAAAAAAAGTTTCTTCCCTGAGATGAAATTGAAAGAGACTACTGACAAAGAGTCTCTTTCAATTGTCGTCGGGCTCCTCTTCCCAAAAAGGACTTGACTTTTGGAATTCCATGTCCTTTTTTTTGCATGACCCAGTTTTAGCAGCACTTCCTCCAAGTGGATTTACTGATGTATCTAGTCTTCTTCATTTCCCACATCCTCCAGGTAATGTCTGATCACCCTGACCTGCCTGCAGCAAGAATCCTATTAGGTAGGTTAGCAAGAATTACTCTACCATCTTAGTAATTTTTCATCTACCAACCCTCCCACTCTGCTTGCCCTTGGCTATAAAATCCCCACTTTGTATTCGGAGTTGAGCCCAGTCTCTCTTGTACTACAGAACCCCATTGCAGTGGTCCCTATAACAAATGCAGTAATCCCCCAGATAAAGTCTGCCAGGAGTAATTTTTTTTTTCTTCTGCATTACCACTTTGTTGTTGAACTGGTTGGACCCAGTGGATTTGGGATGGGAACGCCAAGTAGCCACTGTCCATCTGGCTGAATGTCAATGGACAACCTCAAAAATTAGGATGTGCATTTAGAAGACTAACCAACATTTCGATGCTTCTGCATTTGGGTGGGCTCAAAATATTTCTTCCTGTGTGCTCCAAATGTGATAACTCCTGGGGATTTCTTTCCTTGTATTTCTCACCACACCAACACCTTCACCGTCTGCCGTCCTGTCCTCTTATCCCAGACTCCCTGGGCCACATGGAAGCTTTACTCAGTAGGTGCTCCCTTGTAAATAATCGAGGGGCCCCTCGATTACTCAGCAGATATTCATAGAGCGTGTGTGCCAAGATGGTGCTGAAGTGGTACAGGATGAGCGGAAGACAGTTGTCATCTGTCAGATCCCAAAAGCCCATCTGTGACATAATTTTCACTAGACTGTTTAAAAACAAGGACAATATAGACAAAGTAGTGAGTTTCTCATAAAGCACATAGTATGCATTTTTAAAATTTATTTTTAAAAATAAATTTATTTTTTTTTCATTTATTTTAGAATTGTATCCTTTACCCACCTTTTAAAATGTTAAATGTTTTTTCCTTTCACAATGATAACAGAAAATAAGTTGGTTTCCTTCCCTTTTTTTGTTTCTTTTTTTTTAATGTGCTCTCTCTGATTTCATTGTTATTGTTTTAAATCTTTAACTTACAAAACAAAATGTTAGCAAATCTATGTCAGCCTGCATATTTTTTTTCCTTTTGATTTTACTGGACCTTAACTCTAGAAGTCTAGGTATTTCTGATGGATGTGTATCCTCTAAGCTTGCCACTTGATGATACTCGATACTCTATTGTTCCTGATTATTTTTTAAATGTAGCCTTGTCTCTCCAGCCTCCTGCTTCCTGTCTCCCTCAAGGTGTGTTGCACTCAGGCATGCTGTAAGTAATCAATACTTGGTGATTTGACTTCTTAGCGCCCCCCCCAAAAAAAAAAATTAAATAAATAAAAATCTCCAGGTGCAAAACACAAAGGCAGACCTCTTGTCAAGGGATTCCTCACTTTTCCATTCTCAGCCAAGGGGAGACAAGGCCACTCCAGACAGCACCCCTCCTCCCCCTTTGGCTCTTGTAAAAAGGATGGCTAGTTTTCTATTGCTATTGTGCTAACTGAAGAGTCGAAAATGTGCCTGGAGTTTAAAATCACCAATGCCTGTCCTTTCTAGAGCAACCTCATTAACAACCCAAATTTAAAATTGTATTGTTAAGAGACTCA